GTTCCCGTTGTTTTTGGTGTCTGTCCCCAGTGGCTAAGGTTGGTTCAGTGGGTTGTGTAGGCTTCCTGGTGGAGGGGGCTAGTGCCTGTGTTCTGGTGGATGAGGCTGGATCTTGTCTTTCTGGTGGGCATGTCCACATCTGGTGGTGTGTTTTGGGGTGTCTGTGGACTTATTATGATTTTAGGCAGCCTCTCTGCTAATGGGTGGGGTTGTGTTCCTGTCTTGCTAGTTGTTTGGCATAGGATGTCCAGCACTGTAGCTTGCTGGTCGTTGAGTGAAGCTGGGTGCTGGTGTTGAGACGGAGATCTCTGGGAGATTTTCGCTGCTTGATATGTGGAGCTGGGAGGTCTCTTGTGGACCAGTGTCCTGAAGTTGGCTCTCCCACCTCAGAGGCACAGCACTGACTCCTGGCTGCAGCACCAAGAGCCTTTCATCCACACGGCTCAGAATAAAAGGGAGAAAAAGTAGAAAGAAAGAATTAGTAGAAGTAGAAAGAAAGAATTAGTAGAAGAAGAAAGAAAGGAGGGAGGGAGGAAGGAAGGAAGGAGGGAAGGAAGGAAAAAAGAAAGAAAGAAGGTAAAGTAAAATAAAATAAGATAAAATATAATAAAGTTATTAAAATAAAAAAATAATTATTAAGAAAAAAATTAAAAACAACAACAACAACAAGGACAGATAGAACCCTAGGACAAATGGTGGAAGCAAAGATATACAGACAAAATCTCACACAGAAGCATACACATACACACTCATAAAAAGAGGAAAAGGGGAAAAAATCATAAATCTTGCTCTCAAAGTCCACCTCCTCAATTTGGGATGATTCGTTGTCTATTCATGTATTCCACAGATGCAGGGTACATCAAGTTGACTGTGGAGCTTTAATCCGCTGCTTCTGAGGCTGCTAGGAGAGATTTCCCTTTCTCTTCTTTGTTCTCACAGCTCCCGGGGCTCAGCTTTGGATTTGGCCCCGCCTCTGCGTGTAGGTCGCCGGAGGGCGTCTGTTCTTCTCTCAGACAGGACGGGGTTAAAGGAGCAGCTGCTTCAGGGGCTCTGGCTCACTCAGGCCGGTGGAGGGGGGGGGAGGGAGGGAGGGGCACGGAGTGCGGGGCGGGCCTGCGGCGGCAGAGACCGGCGTGACGGCGTGACGTTGCAGCAGACTGAGGTGCGCCGTGCGTTCTCCTGGGGGAGTTGTCCCTGGATCCCGGGATCCTGGCAGTGGCGGGCTGCACAAGCTCCCCGGAAGCGGGGTGTGGATAGTGACGTGTGTTCGCACACAGGCTTCTTGGTGGCGGCAGCAGCAGCCTTAGCGTCTCATGCCCGTCTCTGGGGTCCGTGCTTTTAGCCGCGGCTCGCGCCCGTCTCTGGAGCTCCTTTAAGCAGCGCTCTTAATCCCCTCTCCTCGCGCACCAGGAAACAAAGAGGGAAGAAAAAGTCTCTTGCCTCTTCGGCAGCTCCAGACCTTTTCCCGGACTCCCTCCAGGCTAGCCGTGGCGCACTAACCCCTTCAGGCTGTGTTCACGCCGCCAGTCCTCTCCCTGCGCTCCGACGGAAGTCCGAGCCTCAACTCCCAGTCCCGCCCGCCCCGGCGGGTGAGCAGACAAGCCTCTCGGGCTGGTGAGTGCTGGTTGGCCCTGATCGTCTGTGCAGGAATCTCCCCGCTTTGCCCTCCGCATCCCTGTTGCTGGGCTCTCCTCCGTGGCTCCGAAGCTTTCCCCCTCTGCCACCCGCAGTCTCTGCCCGCGAAGGGGCTTCTAGTGTGTGGAAAGCTTTCCTCCTTCACAGCTCCCTCCCACTGGTGCAGGTCCCGTCCCTATTCTTTTGTCTCTGTTTATTCTTTTTTCTTTTGCCCTACCCAGGTACGTGGGGACTTCCTTGCCGTTTGGGAGGTCTGAGGTCTTCTGCCAGCGTTTAGTAGGTGTTCTGTAGGAGTTGTTCCACATGTAAATGTATTTCTGGTGTATCTGTGGGGAGGAAAGTGATCTCCGCGTCTTACTCTTCCGCCATCTTCCCGGAAGCTCTACTTTTCTGAACTTTTCAAGGCTTGTGATTCTTGCTGCCGAGGGAGGGAGAGGAGATGGAGGGTTCTGAGACGTGACCCAGGCACAGCAGCTGGAAAATGGAGCCCCACTCTCCTGAGAGGTCCTCCCTGCTCATTCTGGACTCACGGTGGCTGAGAGTCAGAAGCTCTGGCGGGGGAGCTGGTGATGTCACCCAGTCCGGAGTTGGATTTAGGGACCCAGGAACATATATAGCTCTGTAGCTCTGCCTTTGTAGAGGTGCGTCCAGAATGTAAGAAATCAAGAGAGGTGTGATCTCCATCGTGAGGATGAGGGGTTGAGGCTCTGAGAGGGGGCTTGACTCTGCCTAGGCCACACGGGTAAGTCTGGGATTGCAGGCCTCCTCCTGGTCTTTGAGTGGTGATGCATGTCTCACGTACCTGTGGCTGTGGTGCTTGTTGAGGCCAAGCTGTTAAAGTGAACATTAAAGCAGAAACTAACACACCCTTGTAAAGCAATTATACTCCAATAAAGATGTAAAAAAAAAAAAGGGGGGGCAGGAAGAGGAGAGGATCTTCAAGATGGCGGAGGAGTAAGACGGAAAAAAAAAAAAAGTGAACTTTGGTCATTGGCTGACTAATTCCTCACCCCACTCATGTCAACCTGTTCCAGTGGTTCTTAAAGAGGGGTGCCGGACCAGCAGTATCAACATCACCTGGGAACTTGTTAGAAAAGGCAAATTTGCAGGCTTCAACCTGAACCTCCTGAACAGAAAGCTCTGGGAGAAGGCCCCAGTGAACAGTTTTCATAAGCCCTCTAGGTCATTTTGATTTTTGTCCTATTGCAATGTCGTGGGAGGCTGGGGTTGGGGAGGGGTCAGGGGCCAAAGGGCCCTCAAGTGGCCTGGCTAGTCTGGTCTGTCCTGATGCTCTGGATTCAAGCATCTCAACCCAGTTGGCGATTCCTGACTTGGCCCTCATTTTCCCCTCTTGTAAAATAATATCAATAATGGTGAAAACACACACCATTTCAGAGGACTTGAAGGTTTACCAACTTTTACATAGAATAGCCCTTGTAGCAGGTAAGTAGAACTTATATTATCCTCCCACACCCATTTTACAGATAAGGAAACTGAGACTCCAGATGTTTTGTGAGGTGGGCCAGCCCATAGTGGGGGAGGATCCAGGTCCTGAGCCAAGTGCCCTTGACTTTCCATCCCTGACTGATCCCTGCGGGCTCAGAGGCATGGGCATGACCCTATAAATCTGCCATCCCATCTCCATTCTGAGGCTGCGTCAGAATGCTCATCTCGCAGGAGCCCATCAGTAGTCACCTGGGAATGACTGTGCAGTAATGAGCAGATGGCCTCCCTGGAGAGGTCCTGACATCCCATTTTCTCTCGGTGTGAGACCCTTAGCCTCCCCTTCAAGGCCAACAAATACCATTCCTCAGAGGGCTAGGACAGAGCAGCAGAGGGTGTGAAGAGGGAACCGATTTCTAATTCCCTTGTAAAGATGGGGGCAAAGCCCTGCAGCAAGTGGCAGCTCCCTGGCAGCCCTGTGGCCTGGGAGCCTGCAGGTCTGTCTTGCTGGAAAGAGAGAATAATGGTCTGTAAATGCTTGCACCCACAGATGCTGGCCGGCAGGTCATCTGGGACATGGCAGGGCTACCAATAATTCTGATAGAAAAAAACAAGATTTGTGTAGTCTATTATGAGAAGAATCCCCTGGCCAACCAAAACACTAACTACGGCCCTGCAGTCACACCCCTTTGTCCCTGTAATGTGTTCTCTTGTTCTTGGGGACAGTCTGCCATGGTCCTCTGTCCTCAACTATTATTTTTTTGACAAGGTTGAGAAAACCCTCTTTCCTGGCTCTGCGATGCTCTTCGTAATGTGAATACAGGTATTTAATGGGCTTCTGCCTGTTGAACGATTAATGGAAAGGTCGGTGAGTAATCTCCGGCTCACTCCCCACCTCAGCAGCCCACTTCTTGTACAATTCCTTCGAAGCATTCTTTCCAAATAGGTGGGAGGGCTGAGGTCACATCTTTGCTTTCTCCTGGCAGGCAGACTTTAATTAGGTTGCTAAATTAGCCAAGGCCGCGGTAGCCCTTTTCTTTGCACAGAGCCTGATTCTGGGGAGGTCTCTGGACTTGATTTTGTGATTTCGTTGTTTTTTCTCTCTCACAGGAGAGGGACTTGTCAAGTAGAGGCTTCCCCCAGATAACTGTAACTCCCACTTAGTGATCTCTATCACGAACCGGACACTGTGCTAAGAGCACTGTAGTCATTATGTTATAACAAGAGCCAGTGTGGTGTGTCCGTGTGTGTGTACATGTGTGTGTGTGTGCATGTGTGTTGGGGGGGGAGGGCACTGGGCCAAACTCTAATGTGAATTATCTCATTTAATCTTCCCAAGAATTCAGAGAGTAAGGTATTGGTGTTAATTCCATTTTACAGATGAGGAAACTGAGGCTCTGGGGTGAAATAATTTCCCGAAGCTCAAAAACTAGCAGGGAGAGGAAACCAGGGTTCAAACTCGATTCTTGACTACTCAATGCAGTCCATGGACCCACAGCCCACAGACATCCCCTGAGAGTTTATTAGCGATGCAGATTCTCAGAGCCACTTGAATCAGGACCTGCACGATGCCCAGGGGATTCCCATGCACAGTAACTGTTGAGACTGCTGTATACTCTCTCCAGCAACTATAGCTGATTATGCCGGAATCCTGGGTGTTAACGATTACTGACTCTGGTTTAGAGAGGTTCGGGGCTAGTCGGGGAGAGAGCTGGGATTTCATTCTGGGTGGAACCCTCAAACCACCATGCAATGCCTGTTTTCACGCCCAAGGTAAGGTGCTAGAGCTTGCCTGTCCCTACCGTGGACTCAAAAGCAGAACTCCCTGCTCTAGACCCCTGTGCTCCCCTGTCCCCCTGAGCCTCCAAGGAGGACAAGTGCCTGGGACTGACTTGGCTGCTCTCCTCTGTTCCCTCCTGCAGATGTGCAGCACATTAAAAGGAGAGACATCGTGTTGAAGCGAGAACTGGGCGAGGGAGCCTTTGGAAAGGTCTTCCTGGCCGAGTGCTACAACCTCAGCCCCACCAAGGACAAGATGCTCGTGGCCGTGAAGGTAATTCTCAGAGGCGTGTGGGCCCCAGGAAGGAAGAGGAGTGGCTGGGGTCAGGTGGGAGGGAAAGAGAGACTCACTCCATTCTGGAAGATGGTATCAACTAATGTTATCAGATGCAATCAAGATGGTATAAACTAACGTAATCAGATGCCCTTGCTCCAAGGTCAATGAAGTTTCCTTAGGACCCAAATCAACTTCCTTTGGCTTCAGAGGTCAAGAGCTGTAGCACATAAGGGGGCTGTGCCCACGGTGCAGCCGGAGGGACAAGTTATGCTTTTGATGGGCCCTGGTTTTATTCTGGAGGCCCTGGGCTCACCACTGTCCCCAGCTGGCCCTCCTCCCACCTCAGCGACTTTGCAGGATGTGCTGCCCGTGCCCAGAAAGTCATTTGACCATTTCTCGGAAGTACAATTGCATGAGGGGCGGGTAGCTCACAGAGGCCCTGGGAGCCACTGCTCAAGTCAGCAGACGTCACTGGGCATAGGAGATGGGCTGGGGGGTCAGGTACTGAGCACAGGGAGGGACAGTGAATGAGGCTGGAGGACATTCTTAGGTACCCCGTGGGATCCAGGTTCAGCGCCCAAGGAGCAGCATGCCTGAGGGTTCCTGCCTTCTTAGATGGGTCGTTAACCACAGGGCTTTGGTATTGCTGAGCCAGCCCTGCGGATTTGCAGTTGGAGCCGAATTGCTTGGGGCAGGAGAGAAGGAACTTTGCTACTACCAGTTATCTTCCTCCAGCAGGAAGCAGCTTCTCTCAGTCACTGTTAGACACGTCTTTGAACACGACTGGCACAGATGAGTCAAGTAGCCTCGCTGAGGCACCCACAGGTCTGGGGTGTGGAGTGGCCCCTGTGGGAGTGGGTGCAGCAAGCAGGCCTCTGAGGCCAGCGTGAATTCTGCGTGATGTTCTGGGCTGAGAGCAGGAGATACCTCCTTCCCCACGAGGACTCTCACCTGGGCCTCAGAAGGTCCATCCTTAGCACTGAGGGCTCATGACCGAGCCACCTCTTCATGGCAGTTGCAATTTCTGAGACTTTGGGGTCTCTGTATTCACAGTTTGTTGTGTCTGCTGAGGGTAAGTGCCCTCCATGGATGCAGGCAGTGCTGTGCAGGCTACAGGCATAGGGTAGGAATCAGAGAGCTGGGTGGGTGCCTGGCCATCACTGATTAGCTCTGTGACCCTGTGCAAGATGCTTAACCTCTTTGAGCCTCAGTTTCCTTCTCTGTATAATAGGAGATATAATATCTCCTCTTTAAAATTTTGGTGATTAAATTACATAACATATGAAAAATTTTTAGTATACTGCTTGGGACACAGTAAATGCTTAGTAAAGACTCATTGCTATTTGTTTTTATCAACATCATTATTCTTGATGTTGATATTATCCAATGTGCTTAGACACACGACATATGACCTGCTGAGCTTGCATTGACCGTCTAGAACAGGGGTTGCCAAACTCCTTCTATACTAGGCCAGATAGTAAAAATTTTAGGTTTTGAGGACCATACACTCTTCCTTACAGCTACTCAACTCTACCCATGTAGTGGGAAAGCAGCCTAAACCATACATAAATGAATGGGGGGGGCGGTGGCTGTCTTCCAATACTTTTTCTTTTTTTTTCAGAAGTGGGCATTGTCTGTTGACCTCTGCTCTAGAAAATAAATAAGGAACTAGCATATTGCCCCATAAAAGACTAATGTTTATTATTGCTGGATATGCTGTGAGTAAACTGGCTCAGTGTGTCTCCATAGACATGGGATGGTCAGATTAGTGAGGGTGTCTTTAAACAGTTTGGACCAGGGATGTGGAAAGCTTTCTAATTTTGTCCCTAAACTTAGAATCTACCCTGCCCTAAAAATTTTAATTTATAGGATGACACTAATCGACTGGGTGTTCCAGCATCCATCTGGGGACTGGTGGATGAACTTAATATTTTTGTGCTTTGAGCAGGAAATGAAATGATGGCCTAAACCCTGGGAAACATTTCCCGATGAGTGGTCTGGTATTAAGGGGCAGTACCCAGATTGGGTAATGCAGAAAATGTGTTTCTGTTGTCACCCTTGTAAAAGGGTTTCCTTTCCTCCTTTTCGGTCTGGGAAGCTTGAGAAGATGAATGTTCTGGGATTTTACACCATTTGCCTCCCAATGGATCCGCCCAGCGACCAACTGGGGGAGGAGATGCTTGTCTTCTCTGGAGAGCAGCCAAGAAATGGTGTTTCCTGCTTCTCATCCTCTTTAGATTGTATTCCGTTTTGCAGGCTTCCTCCTCTTGAGTTTGTTCTCAAGTTGATGCAGGGTAATTATGGACTTCCAGAGAACACATCCAAGTATAACCCCAAATTAAGTTTTCCCACAGTTGTGGTTTTTAAAGCAAGATTTTTTTGCCCAGCAGTTGCTATGGTGGAAACAGAGCCGAAATCCCAGCCTCTGTTCTGAAGACACTTGCAGTCTGTTGGGGAGACAAGAGAATACCCATGAAACAAACGCAGAGCAGGACAAGACAGAGTGTCATTTGTATATATGTTTAGTGTTAAGAGTGACATTAAAAGCATGTAATTCATGATATTTTTAAATAGGTAGTGCAACTTTTAAATAGTTATTTGACAAACAATAGACTTGTTCAAGAGTCTCCTCTGACAGACAAATAGCCGATAAGACTATGAGAAATGTGTCCAGCCTGATTAATCATCAGAAATACGTAAATTGAACCATAATGAGATACCACTGTATACCAAGCAGAATGGCTAAATAACAATGACAAAACCAAGTGCTGACAAGGATATGGAGCGATTGCCACTTTCATACTCTGGTGGAAATATAAAGTGGTCTAATTGTTTTGAAAAACAGCTTGGTATTTTAGAACATTGGCATCTGTGTGACCTAGCACTTGCACTCTAGGTCTAGACCTGACAGCTATGTATCTATCTGTCTGTCTATCTATCTATCTATCTATCTACCTCTATCTATCTTTCCACAAAGAGATGTGTTTAAGAATGTTCATAAGCATTCTTTATAACAGCCAAAAGCTACAAACAACCCCAGTGTCCATCAGTAGCAGCTTGGATAAATAAATGTGCTATATTCATTCAGTGAGAAACTTTGCAACAAGGAAAATGAATGAACTACAGCTGCATGCAACAATTTGGAAAAATCTCAAAAACACAGTGCTGAATGAAAACAGACAGATATAGAAATATACATATATTTTATATATATATATAGCACTATATGTATGATTCCATTTATTTAAAATTCAAAAAATAAGTACAACTAAGCTCTAGTGTTTATGGATGTGTGTATCTCTGCACATGTACTAAAATGGGTTTTAGTATATTAGTAAAATCTGAAGCTGAGCATCCGTTGAAATATCTCCGCCCCAATAAAAGAAAAGGAAAATGGAAAGCAGCAAAACCCCTAGACTGGAAATGATGATGTGAAGTGACTCTGAAGGAGATGGCAGCTGTTGAGAAATTTGAACGTTCTTGCCATCTAGACTGCTTCTCCCCCAACCGACGAAACAGCCCCACTGAAACCCAGGGTTGGGAGTGGACATGAGACCTGATGTACATAAAGGAGAGACTAAAAAGGGCAATGTCTTCAGACTTTGGGGGAAAAAAGAGATGAGAAGGGAAAATTCCAGATCTCCTCTTTGCTCTATGGATACCACTGGAAGGGCCTGGACACAACCTCCCTGGCTTCAGAGACTCCTTGGCAAGCCCTGTCTTCCTGCACCAACAATTGGCAGCTGTGAGGAACACCCATTCCATCCCATGCCACTGGCTGGTGACCCATTTTGAAGTTTCCCAGCTCCGAAGAGGTTGAGCATGGACTCTGCTGAGAGGTGCATGAGAGTCTCTGGGCTGATTTTCCTTCTCAAGATTTTTTTCCTGGCATCTCTGTCCCAATTGCATCAATCCCTGGGAACCTGGGCCGCTTGTAGCTCTGGACCCCAGTTGCCACAATAGACCCCTTGCCAATTACATAGGAACTTCAGGTTTAACCCAAGAGCTGGAAAGCCCATCATAAAAGTAGAGAGATAATGGGTAGGAGAAGGGGTGTGGAAAGACCAAAAGAGACAGCAGTTGCTTTGTGCCCCATCTTCCAAATGAGGAACTCCTATCTGCTCTGCAGAGTAGGTGCCAGCCCTGGGAATGATGGCTGCGACTGCTCGAGAGCTGAGAATGGAAATATCCAACGGCTGCCATTGGCATCCGGACTGTGCGAGAGACTGATTTACAGAGATGGAGAGAGGCCATCTGGCTGGCCCCGAATTTGATCTACTTTTCCCTCTCGTAAATCCAGTGTTCACATAAATCTCTGTATTCTCATCCCACCCATGCTGGGTTCCTTTTTTTTTTTTTTTTTTACCTTTTTATTCTTCATGAAAATAAGTAAATCACTGACAGTCATCCTATACCCATGCCCCAGTCCATGAAGCTCAGGAGCTGGGTCACCGAGAGAGGCTCCCTCTCACCATGAGTCTCTGCCTTCTCCCGCCCGTAGAAAGAAGGCTTTGCAGACATCTTTGTTCTGGTTGCATGTGGACACACGGCAGCCTATGCCTTTATTATCGGGTAGATTTTCTGAGAAGGCAGCCAGAGATGAAGTGGAAAGCACATGAGATCAGAGCTGGTAAATCAGTAATGGACCAGTGGCCCTCCCACTTCCCTGCTGGCCTTGGCCTGCCCTCTAGACCTGGTATCCTTGCTGGGCCCAGCCATTCTGCTGACTGCCCACACGCCTCACCTTTCCTGACCCTTTCCTCTGCCCTTTCACATCTTTTAACTTCCGTGCCCACCATTCCCCTGAGGACCTGACCAGTGACTAATTCATCTGATAAATTAACGCAAGCAGGTATGCTGGACAGGAATGTATCCTGGGCTCCACACTCAAGCTATTACTTCTTACCTGATCTTTGACAAATCATTTCCCTGTTCTGGACCTCAGATTTCTCACCTGTAAGATGGGAAAACTGTATTAGACAGCTTCCAACATTTTGGTCAAGAGTAGAATCATTTAATCCAACACTTTTTTGGTGAAACCTCCAAATTGTGAAAAGAATGCAAGGTGGTGCTTGTTGAAGTTGGAGTGGGCCTTGATCGCTGGCTGAGACACCATGGCTCTAGAGGCATTGCCATTGAACTTGGTGGTACCAAGAAGCCCAGCACCAAGAGATTACTGTGGTATAATTAAATTCTAGTTTCTATCATTCAAGTTGTGTGAATGTGTCCTGATCCCCAGAGGAAACTGAGGGCTGAGCCACCAGAAATGAGCAGGTGGAAACATGATATCTAGGGCCCTCTTAAAGCTATGAGTCCACCATCTCTAATGTATGCTAATGACTGACGGAGGTTTGATGGGCCCCTTAGATATGATTTTTGCACATTCACATTCCTGCAGCGCTGTAAGCCCAAGGCAGCCCTGTGGATTTCAGCTAGTGGGGATTGCAGTGGCAAGAGGAAGATCTCTGGTTCGGGAGGCTTCTCAAGAGTAGCATAATTTACAGGGGAGCCTAGTCCGCCTAAATAACCAGAAAAGGCCAGATGCTTGGCAGAGGGAATGCAAACCAATCGCGTCTAGATTTCCACTACCCTGAACATGATGTGTAAACTTCACACCCATTCCTTCATTGCCTCGTGTCTTGTCTTTTGAGGTTACTAAACTCTGTCATTTGAAGCAAGTGGATGTTTGGCTCCACTTGCCTTCTGACCTCATGAGGTGGATGGGGAAGGCTGAAGACATATGTGAGCTCAATTGTGCAGGCTGCTCCTCCTGTAGAAATGACCCTGCCCTTCACAGTTCATCATTCAGCATGGCTGCGTTGGTCATTGCTGGGCTGTATTCAAGGTCCTGTTCAAGGACCCTTGGAGGTGGTCTGGTCTCACCCTCCCCTTCTGGTCTACAAAGTCCACATTCACTGACACCCCTTTGAACCATTGCTCTTCCATTTATCTTCCTGGGTCCCAGGGCAAGTGGCTTGGTCTGGTGCTTCTCCCTCACACCGGGTCTCCCACTCCCACAGGGGCCAAGTTGTGACATTTCTGTGGCCACCAGATGCCCACCCTCCCATCCTACCCTGGGACTTTGTGATACCTTACCAGGTCCTGGTCCTGGGTGGGTCCTAAGCCTTCTGCCCATTAACTGCTGTTCCCACAGCTGTAGTCCCAGTTACACCCCAGTACTTCCTTCAGGCCCCTAAGGGAGGACACAGGTGCCTTCTAGAAGCCAAAGTGTTCATGTTTCTCTGCAAATATACACTTTTTCATAATCTAAAATCAAGAAATAGAAAGAGCAAGGAAACTTAATTACACTGTCAGCCTGATTTCAGATGGGCTGTGAGCATAGGCTAATTTACAAAGATAAAGCTTTTGGGGCAGTGGTTCCCCCACTGTTTATTTTAGCTGTGAGACCATTTCTTTGGGGAAATCTTGGGGGCATGGGCCTTTGTCAGGCCTTCTACCTCCCAGCTCCCTCCCTCCGCCATTCACACTGATCTCTGAGGAAGCCTAGGGCTCTGAGATGAACAAAGTTTGAAATAACTGGCTGGCAGATGGGATGGGACGTGGGTGTCAAAAAGTTGGTTTCTGTTTCTACAAGGTTCAAAATGCTGAAGGAAGCAGGAGTCAGGTCTGGCTATTGTGATTTAGCCTCATGCTCTTTAAAGGCGATTAGGATCGTACTTGTTGGGAATCAGCATTGTCTTTATTATGGGCACCAGCTTTCTTCCCAGGAGGGGAACCTAGCTGCTAAAAACCAGTATCCCGGGCTTCCCTGGTGGCGCAGTGGTTGAGAGTCCGCCTGCTGATGCAGGGGACATGGGTTCGTGCCCCAGTCCGGGAGGATCCCACATGCCGCGGAGCGGCTGGGCCCGTGAGCCATGGCCGCTGAGCCTGCGTGTCCGGAGCCTGTGCTCCACAACGGGAGAGGCCACAACAGTGAGAGGCCCGCGTACTGCAAAACAAACAAACAGACAAACAAAAAATAAAATAAAATAAAATAAAATAAAAACCAGTATCCCGTGTTGTTTCCAGGCCCTGAAGGATCCCACCCTGGCAGCCAGGAAGGATTTCCAGAGGGAAGCTGAACTGCTCACCAACCTGCAGCACGAGCACATTGTCAAGTTCTATGGGGTGTGTGGCGATGGGGACCCCCTCATCATGGTCTTTGAATACATGAAGCACGGAGATCTGAACAAGTTCCTCAGGTAAGCGAGGATGGCCATCCCTGCCCCTAACCCCCACCGAACCCCTGGGGTTCTCTCTGGAGCCAGAAGTCCTATCGCTCCTCTGAACACTTCAGTCTGGAGATTAGAAATGAAAACAACCTTTCATTCTTCTACATTACCTCCTGAGCAGTTGGATATAGGCCTTTGCCCCTGATTTCTAGGGGGGGATGTTGAGGATGCTATGAAAAGGAACCTGTACTCTTCTTCCTGATTCTAAGGTAGACTAAGAAGAAGGGCAGGGTGTGAAATGGGTCCAAGGAGGGAGATCAGAGGACCTGCCAGCCTGTAACTTCCAACTTTAAGATTCTAGGGCCGGCCCTTCCCCTGATGCCGTGAATAGCTTTCTGACTTTGTGCCTTATGTTCTCACTAGCAAAGTGAGGCTAGCACCTTCCACACCTCCTAAAAACCTTTTTGTCAGAGACTTTTTGATGATGAATAAAAAGGTACAAGGTTACAAACTCATTGGGAGACAGAGATGGTTGAATTCAAGGGCAGATTTTCCCCCAGATAAATTTAGAACTGGGCTATCCAGTATAGTAACCATATATGGCTATTTAAATTTAAATTTACAATAACTAAATTTAAATAAGATTTAAAAATTCCTCTGTCTCACTAGCCACACTTCAATTACTCAGTAGCCACATGTGGCTAGTGGCTACCATATTGGACAGTGCAGTATAGAACATTTCCATTAATAGAAAGTCCTGTTGGCTAGCACTGTTGTAGAAGGATTGGATTTTTTATAAGAAGTGTTTCCACAAGCCTGGAGCAGGATCATCTGGATTTTGAGGGGCTCCTGATGGAACTTTTAAGAGACTGAGGCCCCAAGCAGATGTTCTGGATGGAGTTACAGTGGGGTTTGGGGAGATGTGAAATCTACCCTCCCCAAAGAAGATAGCATCTCACTGACAGAGCAGAGTTAGCACTTCCCTGCCTCTCATACCTGTTACCTCCAAGTAGTGCCCAGATGTGGAAGAAGCAGGCATGTGTGAGCGTCTGTGGAATCCAGGGTCCCAGGAAGCACATTGAACACTCGGGCCCTGGACGCTTTTAGAGTGTGGTTCCACTGTTGAGAATGAGATTTCCAGAGCTCAGATGTGGGTTATGGCAAACTCTAGCACACTCCCCAAACCTTGATGAGCATCTCCTTGAAGTGGGACATTCAACTGAGTGCTGTGGTGTTTTGAGGAGGGAATGGAAAGGGTTGGTAGCAGGTTTCCAAAATTGTCCCTAGAGGAATTGGAAGGTATCTGTAGGCTTTTCTAAACTTCCTGAACTTGGTTTCACAGTGAAATTTACTCCTTTCCTGAAGAATTGAGTCCTTAACATAAGACAGACTTGGGTTCATATTCTGAATATGTCTTAGTGATGTAACCTGGAGCAAGTTATTAACCCCTAATTCTCTCTCCTAGAAAATGAGACTATTCATAACTGCTTCACATGTTTGTTGTTATGAGTATTCAATGACTATATTTGTATAAGGCCTGGACAAGTTTCCCATGTAGCTAGGTGTTCAGTCAATGGTAGCTACGATTAAAAGTATTACAATTATTATTTTATCAGAACTGTGAACCATGGTAGTTTCTAATACAGGCAGCATCCTTTCTCAGGACTCGGGATCTTCCTTTTCCTGTGCTTCCATTTCCCTGAGGTCAGAGGGACATGGTCCATTTTCCATCAAGCCCTCCCCATAGATTCAGTGGTGCCTTCAGCCCCAAGTACCACCAGCAAGGCTAAGGAGAGGTCCCGAGTGCCACTCCGTACCACTGTCATGCCCGCTCTAAGGGACAGGAAGAAAAAGAAAAAGAGAGAAGAAGGCCCTTCCTGCTCTTGCATCTCCCAGTGGGTGTGTTTTAGGGGCAGGCTGCAGTGCACTCTCCTGGTAAGTGGGAATGTGGCTTGCCTGCTGATCCCTCTTCCTTGTGAGCTGATGTAGTAGTTCTCCTTTGGAGGCATGAGGTAGGCAGAGCCCACAGGAGATAATAAAATGAACATGTTATATTTACAGTACCTTTCAGTGGTAACCGGAGAAGCAGTAAAACAGGCTGAGGTCTCATTGTACACCAGGGCTCTGGCTCACAACTACATAAATAAGGGCCCTGGGTGTGGTTAGAGCTGACTGGGCTCTTTAGAGAAAAGAGTGAACACTAAAAGTGACTGATATGACAGGGCAAGGTGTTAGGATAACAAATCTGGCCCATGATTTGGGATGGAGCAGGTGCTGTGGCTCCCCAGGTCTCTGCCTCAGGGTCACAGGGTCTCTTCATCCCATCTTGCCATTAACAGAAGTTATCGAATCCTATACAGTGTGGTGGAGAGGTCAGGAGGTAGACTGAAGAGCGTTGCTACCCGAAATGTGGACTGTATCAGCCCTGGAAGCATCAGCCCTGGGAAATGCAAATAAATGAGCTCTGCCTAGCCAATCAGAATCGTAGGGGCCCAGGAATTGTATTTAACAAGCCCTCTGGAAGCTTAAAGTTTAAAACTCTCTTCCAGAGCCACATATCACCCATGTGGCCACTGTGGGACCTCTGTGACTTTGACCAAGTGATCTGATCATTTCGTGCCTCAGTTTCCTTATCTTCAAAATTGGGGTGGGAAGATTGAGTGAATTAATATATAATATTTAAGACACTTAGAGCAGTGTGTGGAACATAGTAAGGGCTGTGTAAGAGTTAATTGTTTTATTAATTGTTCTGTAGTAGACATCAAGAACCTGGGAAGCCCCTGGATAACCATACCATATTCAAGAGTAGGTTCATTCCCTGATTCGTTAAAGCATGTCTGCTGTCATCTTAGTTGGGAATCTGGTTGTAGAGTTTGACCATATCCATACTCACAGAGTATAATTTTGGGTAGATAGAAATAGTCCATAAGTAGACTGAGAAGAGATCTCATTCATTTCTGTGGTGCATTCCAGAGAACAGGAACTCAAGAAGACATTTCCCCTTGATCTCCTTAATTCTCTCTGCCCCCTCTCTTCTCCCACTAACCCCACAGGGCCCATGGGCCAGATGCAATGATCCTTGTGGACGGGCAGCCACGCCAGGCAAAAGGAGAGCTGGGGCTCTCTCAAATGCTCCACATTGCCAGTCAGATTGCCTCTGGCATGGTGTACCTGGCCTCCCAGCATTTCGTGCACCGGGACCTGGCCACCAGGAACTGCCTGGTTGGAGCTAACCTGCTGGTGAAGATCGGAGACTTTGGCATGTCCAGAGATGTCTACAGCACTGATTACTACAGGGTAAGGTGGCTTCTCCAGATGCAGCAATCCGTGGCAGAGCTAGTGCCTTCTCACATGTCTTTGTCATTGTCCATTAACCCTGTTACTCCGGAGCACACATATACACATCTGTGCCCAGGTATACATCTGATGCTTATCCTTTGGCCACTCCTGCATCTCAACATACCTGTTAATTATTCTCTGGATAGCTCACTCCTCCCTTCCACCTGGATAGGGATACTTGACTGTATCCTTACATTGCAATGACATAATGCACTGTGTTCTTACTTCCATCAATACTCATTCTTCATGCAAACAGATACATAGACACACACACACACACACACACATATATATATATCCCCAAATGCTCACGTGGACAAGCTCAACTTGGTGCTACATTTTAACATCTTTCAACTGAGTTCCGTATCCAGCCTCACCCATGACACATTTTATTCTTTAACATTATTTGGTGAGCTTATAGGCTTGTTTTCAAAGGTAGATCTTGATAAGAAGTCAGAACCCAACATAAAGTAGCAAAAATGGTTAACGTATTGCTGAGCAGAATTATCCAAATGGCATAGGAAAGATGAGGGTAGGAAGCAGGTTCTCATTGCCAACTTTGGAGAGAGGTACAGGTGGGCCTTAGGAAAAGATTTTTGATTGTGAGAGGAGATATCACGTTCAATTTTACCTCTATAAAAGTATCTACTTTATATTAATAGGTGTCTTATTTTGCTCCCCTTTGTATTTGGGAATCATCTTCCCACGGATCAGTGAGTGGTTCTGACAATGTTATTATTGCCAGGGAAAGGACGGGTGGGCATGAGTGGCATTTATTCCCAAAAGGAGAAATATGGGTGGAACCTGTATACAGAGATAGGATAACTTCTGCAAGTTGATTGGGAGGCAGATGCCTCAAATATATGGAAGATTTACTTTGGGGTCTTTGAATGGGTAAGGAGTTTGGATGGTATATAAGGAGAGGGTGGGGCAATGTTTTGGAGGTTGAGAGGCATGGCAGCCATTTCCCTCATCTTCTTTGTACAGAATGAATGATCATATTGTGAATCAAAGGACCTAGATATATGTCTTTTTGGCCTGAGCACGGTGGGTCAGGAGGCTGTGGGTTTGGGGTTGGCATCTGTAAATCAATTCTGTCTGGATGCTCTTGATGGCTTTGCCTAAACAACATTGCCCAGACGTTATAAGGGATCACTCAAGACACTTTATTTTAGCCATAACCTGGAGAAAAATGGAATATTTGAGAAATTCCTTTTGTGGCTAAAAATGGACGAGTTCATGGTACAGCCAAAAGATGGCAGATGGTAGACCATCATGAGAATATGAAGCAAAGTAGACCAAACAGTAGTGAAGGTAGAAAGTCTGCAGAAAACTGGGCAGTTTCTCTAGCTACCTGCCCAGTCCAACATCCCTAGATATGGAAAAAGGAGCATGATGTAGCAGTAGGCACAGACTGATGGGCAGGGCAGACCTGCCAGGAAATATCAAAGTGGAGTCTTTCTTTTGCATCTAGACCAATTTTTTTTCCAGTCATTTCCAAGAGAGGCATCGGTGTGGTCACTAAGGGCCCATGGGTCATAGATTTCTTGAGTCCAGCTGGAACTGGCACCATTTAATTGCTTCTGCACTCTGCATAATGGGGTTTGCTGGCCTGTCTGGCTGAGCTCAGATTTATGCTGGTGTTGATCAAAGCAAGGGATGGATCATTGTTTTTCTGTGTGAGGCAGATGTTTGATTATACCAACCTGGTCTCCACTGGCTTTACCAGGGTGTTGGGAAACAATATCTGACCAGAATGTGTGCAAACTCAACTTTAAGCTTGCTTCAAGGAGTGCAATTGATATTTCTTGATTTTGATTTAAAAGAGAGAAGAAAAAAAAGATTACATCTCCAAATGATCCTGCTGTGCCCTGACTTGAACAGTTGTGAACTGTTGCTCTTTATACCTGGGAGAGCTACAAGGAATAAATCCATCTTGTTTCTGTGGGCTCCAGGGCAGATTGGAATTCAAGGATGGGAGAGTGAGGTGGGAAAATGTTCACATACCAGGTATCCACAGTTCCCTTTTCATGAGTTCTAAGCCAGGTATAAGCAGAGGCCAGCTGGCCTGCAAATGTGTGTCTTTGGTCCCAAGGAAGTATAAAATAAAAAAAAGGATAGCTGGGGCTTCCCTGGCAGTCCAGTGGTTAAGACTCTGCCTTCCAATGCGGGAAGCGTGGGTTCGATCCCTGGTCGGGGAACTAAGATCCCACATGCCATGGGGTGCAGCCAAAACTTAAAACCAAAAACGGATAGCTGTTGCAGTAAAAACACAATGCACCATCAGAGAACTGCATATCCACTCATGGTGGGTAGCTATTATACTCTGCACATTCAAAGAGCAGCTTGTGTCATATCTTCATGTTCAGTACAGGTGCCCACAAGGTCGTCATGTGTACGCAGTCCCACCCCCTCCCTCACCTTCTGTAAAACAAAAGGCAGAAGTAGACTTGCCTGAGGTCATATCAGTAATAAACTGTGAAGTCTTATTATCCGTATTGGAAGACATCAAGGTGACAAGGGAGTTCTGTATTTGGGCCCAATGTTACCTGTGTTCACATCCTAACACTGCCATTAACAGCCATGGGACCTCAATGTACTTTCCTGAAACCTCTATTTAATTTCCCCGTTTTTCAAATGAGGACAAACATGGTCTCTCAATCAGGTTATTTTTGATGTTAAGCAAGTTGATCTGTGTAAAGAGCCTGGAATACACTACTTACTGGATAAACTGTTGTTTATTTTCCTTAGTCCCCTTCACACCCAAGGCAGGAGAACCTCAGGGATAATCTTATTTCCACATGTAGTTCTCGGGTCAGAGAGAAGGACCTCCTGACCACTGGAAAATAAACTGGGATCGTGTAGCTGCCCCAAAGGAGCAGAGCCTTTATGTTGACCACCTCTGGAAAATTTCCTTCCCAAGGTTTCAACTTAAATAGAAATACTGGGTCATCAGTACTTGCCTGTTCTTCTGGTCTGTGTTTATATGGTCTTGCTCATGAATCTTAGAGCTAAGTCCATGTTCAGGTGATTTATGAAAGATTTTTTTTGTTTGGTACACCGGCTGAGACTCTGGGGGAATACAGTGATTTATTAGATAGCAAGAACGCTGAAGGATTCTCTCTGCAAGCTGGCACCCGGGACAGGTTTGCACCTCTCGGCTACCATACGTTACTGAAATCTGTTGGGCCTAGGAGTTTGCTGATCTCTGGTACCTAACACAGCTAAATGCAGATAATTCAGGCGTGTGTGTGCGTGTGTGTGTGTGTGTGTGCGCGCGCGCACGCGCACGCACGGGCACATGCGCTCATCTGCCCAGTGTAGATTCCAGGGTGTGTATAGGAGGGCAGAGGGGGAGGTGGAGATAAACTCCTCCTTCTATTCTTTCCTTTTTAATTTTTTAAAACAAAGAGCTGCCATCTGGCTCATGCACAGGTGGTATGAAAATGATGTACAAAGGTGAACTGCTTAATTTCCTGTTACGTATTTACAGAGAGAAAACAAACATCTCTGCACCAGAGTGAGTGCCAGAGCGATTTGTTCTCGCTTCTTAAGACTATGCCCCATGACAGATCCCTTTTCCTTGTATGGGTCACTGACTCATACACTTCTGAGACTGCCTTTAACCTGGCTTTGACAAGGGTGGGGTTTTGGTACCATTATATCTTTCTCAGAATATCAGACAACACTAAGAGTTTAGGGCTCAAATCTGGAATTAAAGAAAGTCCTGAAGAAGACGAGGTTGGAATTCCAGAATAGAAATGTTTTCAGATGTTTTGATTTGGAGGGGAGGTGGTATGCTGATACAGGAAGAATGGGGGTGTAAGAGATTGGTGCTCTGATCCTACTGATGCAGAGGGCCAGGGGTGCACCTTCCTGTTCACTCTGCTGTCCTCCGTGCCTGGCACGGGACCTAGAACTTGGCAAACACCCAATAAACATATGAACAAATGCATGAAAGAATGAATGAAGTCAGAATGGGAATTCAGAGTTAGGCAGGAAGTGGATTAGGCCAGACCAAGAGGAGCCTGAATAGGCATCACTTTTGTGGAAGGGCTTCCATGCCCTGCAGGGCCAAGCATCGGGATCCCTTCAGTAGGCTCCCCAGTTAAGATCTAGGGCAGATCTTATGTGTTCCAGCTACACCTAATAGTGACAGAGGTGACAACCAGAATGGTAGCAGCAGAGAATCAGTGGATGAATAACTCTGCTCTTGAATCCCGCCTGATTCTCCTGTGTCCTGGGGCTCCCTGCTTGATCATGTAAGCCCTCACACCAAAACCAGCTGAAGGAGGCATGCTCATTTTACACATGCTGATTGTGGAGCTTTGCACTTTCTCACCAGCCTCTTAGTACTCTACTGGGAAAGGAAGAGGGTCTTCTGAAATCTTCCAGGTCAGCTATTATTGGCCTCCGTTTTATAGTTAAGCCTTGGAGAGGGTTGGTGATGTGTTCAAGACCTTGAGATTCTCCAGCAGCAAGTCAGTGTTAGAGCCTTTATACAGCCTTAGGATGAGTGATCCACTTTGTACATTTGCTAAACTTGTCCATGCTGGTTTATTTCCCCTTGTGCCAAATACCCTAGCCATTGAGAAGGTCCATGTGCTGGGGACAGGATTCAATACGATTCCCTGACTATGTGCAAGGATGAAGAGAATGTGATCTGTATTCCCAAGGAAATGAAATTTTCATAGGGAATATAAAACAGGATGAAAATTTGTAATTCCACCATAACACAATAGGGTTACCAATTTCAAAAGCCCATGTAATTAGAGGGATGATTTGGGTCTTGAGGCAGTCAGTGGGTTGAATTTTAGGAGGAATAAAAATAGTTTTGAAATAGGCAAACCAGGAGAGTGATCTGGAACAGTGTGTCACTCAACCAGCCAGACCTGAAGGTACATGAAAGAGGCATGGAAGGATGTTTGTAAAGGAAGGATGGGACCACTATGGCAGCT